TGTGACCGAAAAGCTTTCGGAAATTCTCATTTAAAATTCGCGCGCTGTATATTTTCCGATATTTTAAGTTTATGTAGTTTGGCAGCACTGTCCTTAATTACTATGCCAAAAATGAGCGCGATCTGTCAGACAGTTCGTTTACGGCAGCTGTTGAAACCAGTTCACCTCAGTAGGGCGTTGCGAAAAAAACAATGGAAAAAAATATTGAACAAAGAGTTTGCATCAAATTTTGTGTTTCGAACGAAATTTCGTGTGCAGAATCGTTGCGAATGCTACAAAAGGCTTATGGGGAATCAGTTTTATCGAAAACTCAAGTTTATGAGTGGTACAAAGCCTTCCAGGACGGTCGTACGACCGTCGAAGACATTTCGCAACGCACTACTGAGGTGAACTGGTTTCAACAGCTGCCGTAAACGAACTGTCTGACAGATCGAGCTCATTTTTGGCAAATTAAGGATAGTGCTGCCAAACTACATAAACTTAAAATATCGAAAAATATACAGCGCGCGAATTTTAAATGAGAATTTCCGAAAACTTTTCAGTCTTAATGTATTATATAAATGCATAACATATGTATTTACAAATCCATATGTACATAGTACTATATATATATAGATTAAAATATATTATAATTATGTGTTTAAATGTTATTAAATTTAGCTCGCCTTCTCGTCTTCATACGAGTATCTTGACTTTATTTCTTTTGAAAATTATTTTTTGTTTTTTATTTGTTGACATATTTTATTTTTGGTATTTGGCCAATATATGTTTAAGTATTGTATAATATATTTTTCAATTCTTATAAATATGTTTGAGCTGTTGACATTCAAAATAAAATTTGCCACATATTTTCGTGAAATTCGTTTATCTATTTCGTGACTTTGGCATTTTCATATACAGAAAATAAAATATTTTTTTTATAAAAATATAAAAAAAATTGTAATGGAGTTTAAATATATATATTCAATACATCTGGTATATCTGTAGTGGCAAAATAGATCTCCATATGTTTAGCTATGATTATAAAGTTCGTTAAGTGCCAACCAGATTTATATATATATATATATATAGAAATAATGAATAAAGAAAATGCATAAATAAATTAATTTCTATTTTGAAATTATTCTTTCTTTAATAATTATTACAATAGAATAGGCAGTTATAATATATATTGTGTTCGGCTAAGGTCAGCTAAAATATTCGCTTGTTAAAAATTTAATTTTTTGATTTCAGTTAGTCACCTATATTTATTTTTCTATTCAAAACAGATTTCTTATTATAAACAAAAAAATTTTAATTAAAAATTGGATTAATTTTAAATTAATGATTAATATAAGTTTTCTTATCAAGTGCATTCAAAATATGTTGATAAGGTTTATGAGTATGTATTTTGTCTATATATATTTATATTTTAAAGTTATTTAGTATTTATCTTTTGCGTTCATTTAAATCGATCATCTATCGTCTGTTTGGCTAAGTGCCATAATATCAAATTTCATTATTACTTGCAGTCATACAGCCTTATTTTTAGATCCATTCTCTGTATACGATCTTACTATCTTTGGTAAACAATTTGTCGTCAATAGTTCTTTAATTAATTTAAATGATATTGTAAACCATAGACACTTAAATAATCATAAGTAACATAAGTTGTTCCTATATCAGTTATAAAATGTTATAAGACAATATTGCCTTAATTATGTATAAAAATTGTTTTGTGTGGAATTTGAATTCCTCAATTATAGTATGTATTATGTAGACACATGTCCCATATAATTGTATATGTATATCAAGTTTCAAAGGTTCATTTCACTTAATTTTTATATAATTAAGACTGATATGTAATATAAGTTGTTTACGTATCGGTCTGCTATGCTTCAATTTGAACACAATTACATATAACAATCACACTTAATTGATTACCCGAAATGAAAAGTTCTCAAGTACTCAAGTACTCAGATGCATACATTTTAAAATGGTATATTTACCAAATGCTCAGTTTACAAATTGATTACAAGTGCAATTGAGTCTCCGTTTCTTAATACAAGTGCTTCGAAAGAAGCAGACAGTATTATGGCTGTCTATATGGCTGTATAAGTGGGGTTCAAATGAAATTGTGTAGAGTAAAATTTGGAGTAAGGGAATATGTATACTGCAGCATATATTATGTTGAGTCATCATCTAAAGTACAAAAAAAAAACTCCACCCTCAACAAAGAGTATGAATAATTGTGGTTTTATGGTATTGTCATGAGTAAGACCGTTGGATGTATTATTCTATAAACGCTTTATTTATATTTTTTCTTTTTAAATTAAATGATTTTATTACTTTATGCTGAATTAGTGCTTAATTCTTCTCATTCTTCAAAGAAACTAAGAAGAACAAAATATTTAAAAAAAAATGTCACATATGTTGTGTAGCACATCTTTTTGTGCTCTCCCCTAACTTATGGCGCTCCTATCGCTTCATCTATTTTATATAATTCCCCCTTTCTTTATTTTTATTAACACTTGTCAAGTAACAGCATTTAAAAAATTTTACAATTAAAGTGATAAATTATAATATATATGAAAGAAAAATCGTTTCTTTCAACTCGATAAAGATATGCCCCAAATACGACACTTGCTTTTTCTGGTCATCTATACTCTCTACTATAGTGTATCTCTGATTCTGTTGTATTCTTTTTCTTATATTTTTATAAAAAATTCAGCTAGATAAGATATTGTTTCTACATAAAGCATATTTAAAGGGAAAAATATATATTTTTTTATATTTTATGTCTCAAAAATGATATGAGATTGTGCGGATTCATGAGCTGTTGAAATGAACTTCTAAAAAATGCTATTAAATGGTATGAAATTACCCCAGAGGCAGGATTAATTTCAAAAAGTGTAACTTTTTTAGGGTTAATAGAATGTGGGAAATATACTATATTGTGTTATAGCAGACATATAGTATATATTGCCCTACTGTTGACCTTATTAGTGTACATCAAAGACATCTATTAAAAATCCATCTAATGAGGTAACAAGTAAAATAAAAATATGTAGACTCACAATTAGAATATTGTAGAATTTATTACAGATATAATTATATTAGTTTAAAAAATTAAAAAAAAATTATAATTAATATGTACTTAAACTTTTAGTATTTTATTTTTTTCTGATAAAAGTTCTTTTATAGGAAGTTGTTATAGTAACAATCTAGACATAAGGAATACAGTTGTTGGGCACAGTTAGTAACCATAAATTAGAGATACTGAAACGACTTCAGTTCAAAATACTTGCATTTACTCGAAAGCTCTTCAAAGTTTCGGTAATAACATTAACCCACTAGTTGTGGCTCTAACGGACGAAACTTTGAATGTCTAAAGAATCAAGAGCCTATATATTTTAAAATTCCCATTCAGTTAATAATAAATTAACGTATTATAAAATATAGTATAATATTCAATAGCTGTAAATATACTTACTAAAAATTTAAGTGGGCTTAGTGGTTTACTTATTATAAATAAATAAAATATTACATAAAAAATGTTTATATTATATGAGAAATGAATTTACGTTAGCATATTGGGCCTATAGGTCTAAGCGGTTCCCTAGGAATCGTCGGTATAATCAATGAGAAATGGAATTACTTTTATTCTTATTACTTTTATGAATTGCAAATCAATTTTTTTGGATTGCAAAATTCCCATTATTACTGGTCTTTAGAAATATTTGCTATTAATATCACTACAATATTTATATTTTTATGTTATTTATTTTGCATCAATTTAATATATATAATGTGAATATTTCTATTTTTTTTTAAAGATATTAATATTATAATTACTTATATTTTATATTATTCTTATTAACTTTTGTTTGGGAAATTTTTTACATATATTATTATAATAAATAACAATATCTCCACACATTTTTGTAATATTTTTTTTGAATATATTTTTAAATATTTTTTTAGAAATTCTTTCAAATATTCTTTTACATATTCTTTTAAAGTTTCTTTTACATATTATTTTAAATATTCTTTTATATATTTTTTTACTTTACCGTTTTTATAACATTTTAAAATATATTTTTATGTGTAGCAATTAGTCGCTGACGTGACATTATATATTTTTGAACTTCAACTTTTGTGTCTTTATATAAAATTTTGTGTCTCATTCTCTCAAATAAAATAAAAATTAATTAAAATTCGTTTTTTAGCTACTTTTTATTACTCTAAATTGAGTCAATAAATTTCAAGTGGCTTTCAGATTTAGCTAAGAGTGATTTTTTAAGTGTTCAAAAAACATCATTCTTTTATGTTTGTAACATTTAATTATCATTATATGAAGTTCATTAACACTAATGTTCGCTCAAATCCCAATATAACGTAATTCGGTTTTTATGTGGCCAAGTGCTTTGCTTTATGAGACATTTATGGTTCACAAGTGTGCATTAGAATTAAAGTAAAATTATAAAATGAAGACGAAATGATCTTTTTTCAACTATATATACATTCATTGCTTTTTATTTAAATCTTTTTATTATATTTTTCTGTATAGATGATGTTTTAATAAAAACTATTTTTATATTGCAGGACACAAATTTCGTCGTGGCATGACAGAATTCTCAACAAACAACGACATCAACAACAAATCACATCTTTCACAACCGCTTCAAAATTCACCACGCCACTTTCAACATCCTACTCATTTTAATCATAACCAACAAAAACAACATCAAAATTCTCCTCAGCACATTGCTAATATTAATAAACATTTAACTCATGCATTAAAACAAAACTTTAACAATAAAAATAATCAACAAACGCTTCCTTTAAATTCTTCTGCAAATATAAATAATAAAAACGTCACCCTAACATCAACAGCATCAGCAGCAACAACTGCTACCAATTCACCCACATCTGCCATACATTCCCCATTGCACACATATAGAAATCCATTAAATAGTCCTAACAATTCACCATTTGCATATGCTTATTACGATAATAACATCGATCAACAGCTACAGCAACAGCAACAGCAACATCCACAACAACAACAACAATCGCAGCAACAGCAGCATACAAAGATCACGTCATCAGCATCATCTCAGCAACTTCAGTTGCTGCAACAGCATTTGCGTAGCACAAAATTGCCAATTCTAACGCAAACACATTATCAGCAGCATTTAAATGATTTGTTATTGCAGCAACAACATTTGCAACAACAGCAGCAACAATTGTTAAATGCCAAAGATGCTGATGATGAACTGAGTGAGGAGAGTCTCAAACAGAATGTTGCAATAGTATTAAATAATTTGGATCGTTATAATAACGCGTTGCGCAGCATTATTTTGAATGAGGAAGTGAGCAGCAGTAGCAGCGTCTTCCTGGACGATAGTTTTCTAATTGGCAGTAGTGGTAATAACAATTTCTTGTTAAATAGTGGCACAACAATGGCTGCACCAGCAACACCAGAATCAGACTACAATAGCAATGCAACAACACCGGGGTCGCGTAGTAATATGCTTCCGCACGATAGCAATATGTTAACGCAACAGCACCAACAACAACATTTGGTAGGTTTTGCTACAACAGCAACAGCTTGTGGTGGCGGTGTTGGTAATAATATTATTAGTAATGGTATTGGTGGCTTTTGTTCGCTTGGCAACAATGTTGCTAGTAATAATTTAAATTGTTCCCTTGCATCTTCACATGATTTTACTCATGACAATTCCGATTATCAGTGGTTTCTGGATTACGGCTATCGAGATGGTTGTGGCGGCATGCAACGTAGTGTCTTATCTTCACTATCGGCGTCATACAATGGTATAGGCGATCTAATCTATTATGAGGATATTGCCAAAAATTTAGATGCTAATCTTGCCGAAGTTGATATGGAAAGTTTTCGTGCTGAAGATATGCATTCATTGCTCTATTTACCATCGTACTGTAAGGGAATCGGTGGTAATAGTCGTTTACAGCAGTCGCTTATGTTGCAACAAAATATGTTGCCACAAATAACACAACATGGACATAATATTTCACAGACTTCAACTACTTCGACTAATGAATTGATCGACAATTCAATTTGTAAATCGGAGTTGCTTTTTTCACCAGTTAAAGAATCGCATATATCAGTGGACTCATTGGATATGGATGCATATCCGGAAGATGGTGATATTATATTGACTTGCCAGGCGAATAAAGACAATTACACAATCGCATTTGAGGGTAGCGTGTTGTATTCGGATGACAGCTTTTACGGTAAGTTTACAAAACTATAAATTTTAGAGTATTATTTAGTTTACATATATAAGACATATACATATAAGACAGTCAATAAAGTTTTTGTTATTAGAAGTTATTGGTTATATGCTATTATTTTTATTTTTTATTTTTTATTTTTTATGGTAACCAAAAATATGTATAGATATGTTTGTATATATATAATTATTTAAAAAATATCTATAAACATATATAAGAATATATATTATAAAATATGTAACATATATTTTATCTATATAAGATATAAATAAAAAAAATAATACGATGATAAATCGGGGACGAAATAAAACATAACAAAACCCAATATTATAACAGTAGAACAAAACTATAAAATTAAAACACGAAAGTAGGAAAGGGGTAAGAGCATATAAGACTTAAAAACAATACTTATTTTTTATCTCTAACAATGCTGGTTTTGTCAGTTTATAACTTATATTATATTAAGTTAAGATGTTAATAGATTCTTACAAATTATTAGAAGAAGGTTGAGCCTTACGGTAACGTAACATTGACTTTGATATACTTTACATTGATTTTGATATACATATTCACAACCTTCAATGGAATCTAACATAATCAAATATAAATTCATAAAGCCACTGTGGAGGTTCTTAGTTTTGTTATTATATTAAGTTCCTGTTCTGTTGATAATATCAATGCTTAAAACATAATCCTTATGCTTGTCTTAAAAAATCCCTTAATACCAAAAAACCCGTACATATTATTAAATAAGCTTTATTTTAACATACTGTATGTTGTTAAAATCTTCTTTTTAATCTTATTATAATACTATTTTATAATCTATTATTCCATAATTTATTACCGTATATTATATTATTTTTATAATATTTCTTATATAAATATCTAAATAAAAACACTTTCAGTTACTTCTGAAATAGTCTGACAAATTTAAGTTCGATGATTTTCACTGATCCTATAAATGTTAGTCTAAGTGAGCCACTGTCCAAAAGCGTCTATTGCAAAAAAGATCAATGATATAAAAATTCTTCAATATATAATAGTCATTTAAATAAGGTATTATCATGCAATATCTTTGAAAAGTTTTGAATGATACTAGTTATTTTCCTTATAAAGGTAGATTTATTTATAAAGCTTTATAATTAAGGTATTATCATGCAATGTATTATCATGGTATTATCATGAAATTGTAAATGATATAAGCTATTATCCTTTAAGTATATTATTATTATATATCGATATAATTATGGTATTATCATGCAATCTTTGTAAAGTTTTAAATAATATTAATGATATTTACTATTTTTCTTTTGAATTCTTTCTTTTTGAAGAACTCTCTTCTGGAGGTTAAGTGATAACTTCTCTTATTAAAAAACAAATACTCTTTGCTATACTCTTCAATTATTTATTCATTGTTCTTTACCAATAACAAATTGTACTTTTGTTTATCGATAAACAGTTAAGTGGAGGAATTGTTCGTAATTAGCTTATCTGGTATCGTACAATGCAGAAATGTCAAAATACCATATATATTGTTATTATAACAAGTCATTCACAGTTTAACTAAATCTTAGGGCGGTCTTTTGAATTTCCCAATTATCTTAGCGCGGATTAAAAAGGTTGTGTCAAAAAAAAAGAAAAACCACAAGATGTTTTCCTCATTCAGGTAAACAAAATGTGAGTTTATATATCAATGTATTATCTGTAGCCTTTTCAAAATTAGCAAAAATTAGAGAATAACGTTATCAGGTACAACTTAACGACATTAAATACTTTCAAGCTAACGATCAGGTAGAGACAAGAAATAGAAGTATAAGATATCATAGTTTATTAAGTATGATATAAGGAATAAGTTCATTTTATTTTTAACTGTCGAACTGAACTGTAACTGTTCTTACTACTTAAATAGTGAATGTTAAAATTTAATAAGGATAGAAAAATATTAATTTATATTTGAAGTTTAATAATGGTTTTCTATCCACGTGACTTGCAAAACTTAACTTTTAAGTTAATTAAGTTGAAAAATGTAATGCAAAATTTTATAATATCTTTAACAGCGGAACCAAATGATATTGCCTTGAAGAATAAACAAAATTGTATCAACTTGCATAATAACTTGGATGATATCGTCAAACGAAAGTCCTTGGATGTGTCGATGTCGCGTTCAGAACAGCAATTCACACCGCGCAACAAACTACAGAAAAGTAGCACAATTCAATTGCAGAGGTAATTTTTATTGATTAAAATATTTTTTATAGTAAAAAAAATATATATTTAAAATATTTCTGCCATAACGCCTAAAGTTCAAAGTTAAAATTTAAATTATGTAAATAGTAGAACTCAGAAAATTACTTAAACATTTAGGCTTTCGTGCGCTAAATTTATCGTACCGTTCGGTAAATGTAATTAACATTTTTTAATAAA